AAGTTAATTTAGGGGTTAATAAACTGTTTCAGAGGAGTGATCATAGCGCTCTGCATCAGCAGTGCTGCGTCTGACTCCCTGCCAGCTCCCAGATCAGCTTCTCTCATTGGTTGATGTGGCGCCTCGTCCAGCAGCTAAAGTTATATTTTTGGAGACTGCTTCAGCTGCTCAAAACGTGCTGCAGGACCTTTTGCTGCACCTTGATGCTCGTCAACCGTTAGCTTTGCATGTAAACCAGCTGCCTCTGCTGCTCGCGTTCTGAACGTAGCCTAACGCTTTATTCTGCTTTCCATCTGGATCTGACCCAGCGTGGATAAAGACAGCTAGGACTGATTTAAAGCACTTTGCAGAACATTTTAGAATGTTGTTTTTTTTTGTTGTTTGCATTCATATAAATATACTGGTGTGATACCCTGTTATACATTTGATTGGTTTTTCTTCTACATCTATTTTGAAGTTATAGCGCCCCCTGGAGAAAGCTCCAACACTGTTGGAATTATAGTTATAATAGCAGAAATCCACCACTTACACTAAATGACCCATTATTATCCTGGATAATTATGCGGATTAAAAATTGCTCTTAGTGACAAATCTCACTGCAAATTAGCAAACATGTTCATATTTATTGATTGTTTAAGGACTTTTTCTTTTGTTTTTATGATTTTATTTAATGCATTGTAATGATGCAGCGCTTCTGGGTTGCTTTGTCTGTGTTTTTAAGCTTTGATGGTTGTTTGGGTTCTTTTTGCTCTCAGTGAGCCAAACGGAGACATAATCGTCCTTCTAAACGGTTCTTCACCGATAACGCTCCTCACTCTAATCAGTCAAAGTCTAACACCCAAACATAACAGAAGGTTGATGGCTGAGATTCTTCCTTCTTTGGTTTGGTTGTGTTTTCACGTTGAACACAGCTGTAGTTATACAGAGTCGTGAGAAAAAACAACTCGATCTCAGAGATGTGCCATAATATCATATTTCTGTAGTTCTGAATTCCTCTGGATGCTTCAGGCCAGATCTGATTATGAGTTAAAATAAATAATAATTTTTTTATGAGATCCAGATCTCATCATTTAATAGATTAACTAGATCCAATATTATTTCTATATTTCAGCTTAAACCCCTGAGAGGTTCAGAGGCTCTATCTGCCTGCAACCTTTTGGTATTATTGTGAAGAAAAGAGTATTTCTCTACACTTTAGCAGCTGCTACCATCTTTTAAAAAAAAACATTTTTTTTGCCTTAGATTTTTTTATATAAACAGTTCTAGAAATAACTACAAAATTCTTTAAATGAGGTGTATTTGCCCTTAATCTGAGTAGGTAAATAAGATGATTTGCTAATGGAATAAGCATTTGTACTCTTAAAATGAGATAATTAGATAATATGCATAAG